TATCACATGATCTCATTCATTTATGGATAATAATGAACATTATAAAGTGATGAACAAAAAGATAGGTACAGAGACAGTAAAGCATCAAACAGACTGTCAAATTACTGCAGGAAGGTTAGGGAGAGTTGGGGAGATAAGAGATAAACCAAAGGACTTTATGCATGCATATAAGCATAACCAATAGATGCAAAACTCTGGGGGGTGAGGGCATGAATGGGAGTGGGGTGGGAAGACAATGGTAAGATATGGATATGTCTAATACCTTAATTAGAAAATAGAAGAAAAAAACAAAAGGAAGAAAAACAATTTAAAAATGGGCAGAGAAATGGCATGCAGTACTCAAGGTAATGGAAAACAAGAATCTGAGACCAAGATTACTAGATCCAGCAAGGCTATCGTTCAAAATAGATGGTCAAATAAAGAGCTTCCCAGAAAAAAAAAAAAAAAAAATCTAAAGGAGTTCATCACCACCAAGCCAGCATTACAAGAAATGCTAAAGTGACTGTTTTAAGGTATTGCTGAGAAGAAGAAAGAGAGAGAGAACCCTACCATACAGAATTAAAATGGCTACAAATAAGAACCTCTCAATAATAATCCTAAATGTAAATGGATTAAATGCTCCAATCAAAAGGTGTAGGGTAGCTGAATGGATACAAAAACATGACTCAATTATATGCTGTCTACAAGAGACCCACCTCAAAACAAAAGACACACATAGGATGAAAGTTAATGGTTGGACAACAATTTTCCATGCAAATACAAAAGAAAAAAAGGCTGGAGTAGCAATACTCATATCTGACAAAATTGACTTTAAAAGCAATATGCTAAGCAAAATAACCCAGTTGGAGAAAGATAAATATCATATCATCTCACTCATTTGTGGGATATAATGAACAACATAAACTGATGAACAAAAATCAGAGGAGAACAAAAATATACTATAATATAATAGTATAACAGTATAATATAATATACAATTCCTAAGATGCAGTAATTCTGTTATTTGCAGATTTATAACATTTCCTACAACTTCTGTGATATTATACTATGTAAGTACAGTTTTGGTAATATTACATTTAAAATCCTTTTATTCTTGAAGTATTAATGATTATTGCATGTAATATAATTATATGGAAGATTTTAAAAAATGTGCGGAGGACTTGAATAGATATGCCTTCAAAGAGGATATAAAAATGACCAAGAGACACATTAAAAAAATGCTCAAATCACTAATCATTAGAGAAATACAAATTAGAACTACAATGAGATATCACCTCACATTTGTCAGAATGGCTATCATCAAAAATCAACAAACAACAAGTGCTGGCGAGAATATGGAGAAAAGGGAACCTTAGTTCACTGCTAGTGGGAATGCAGATTGGTGCAGCCACTGTGTAAAACAATATGGAGTTTTCTCAAAAACTTAAAAATGGAACTTCCTTTTGACCCAGAGATCCCACTTCTGGGAATATATCCTAAAACCCCCAAAATACCATTCAGAAAGAATATATGCACCCCTATGTTCATAGCAGCGTTATTTACAATAGCTAAGATTTGGAAACAGCCCATGAGTCCATCAGTAAATGAGTGGATAAAAAAAAAAAGCCATGGCACATTTACACTATGGAATACTATGCAGCTGTAAAAAAAAAAAAAAAAAAAAAAAAAAAAAAAAGGAACTCTTTGGGGCAGCATGACTAGACCTGGTAAATATTATGCTAAGTAAAATAAGACAAACTGAGAAAGACAAATATCACATGATCTCACTTATTTGTGAAATCTATTGAACAAAATTAATTGACCAACAAAATAAGACCCAAAGCAGGGAGGCATGGAACAGGCTGACATACCTTAATGTGGGCTTTGGGAGACAGTAAGAGATAAACCAAATACTTACTAGAGGCCCAATGCCAAAATTCATGCATGGGAGAATCCCTCAGCCCAGCCTTACAATCCAGGACCCCTCGGAGGTGTAGAACTACTGGGCCTAAACCAGAAGTCAGACTTCACTCTCACAATCCAGGACCCCTCACTCCTACTGGCCCGCCTGCTTGCTCCTTACCACTTGGCTCATCGCTCCTTAGCACTGCTGCCACCACCACCACCACCACTGTGTTCACCAGCCATGAGCCCTGCTTCTGGCTGAGTGGCACTTCCACTGTAGGAACACACTGTCCACCAGGGGCAGCTCGTACTTTGAGCATCTGCCCCCTTGTGGTCAGTGAGCGTCATAGTGACTGGTCATTCTGGTCATTCCGGGTGTTCCGCCATAACGGTCACTGGGCTTTTATTTATATAGATATGCATAGCCCATGGACACAAGCAGTAGGGTAGTGAAGACCTAGGAGAGTGGGTAGGGACTGGGGAGGAGGGGAGTTAGGGGAAAATAGAAGATATCTGTAATACTATCAACAGTGAAAGATACATTTTTAATTTTTTATTAAAAAAAGAAAAGTTTAAGTGAAACCCTTGTTGTCCTGAATTTGAATTAGAAATACCAATATGAACTCATAAATTAGTCTTACTTTCTTAGGTTTATCCACTGAAAGAGCCTAGAAACCATGACCAGCCCAAAATACCACTTTCCACTAAAGGAACCAGGAATTCTTAGATAAGTGGCCAATTCAAGATCTGGGACTACATAATTATAAAATAGATTGGAATATATTTTAATATTTTTAAATATTTTTAATATACTTAAGGAAGGTCTCAAAGACAACTGAATTTATGTCCAGAGGACTCAAGAACCAAATTTTAGAGGCTCCTGCTAGCCATTGATGGGACATCAGTGAGCATCAGGAAAAAAAATAACTACCATAGATTGAATGAAACACATCACTTATACTAAATTCACCCATTTATAAATTATAATAATAATAAATAGGTCACCATTAAAGAATGTTAGAGAAACCAACTCATTGTTCTGAAAACTGATAGATAAAAGAATCAAGCATTTATTATTTATTAACAAAGAAGCTGTCCCACTGGGTAATGGGAGAATAATGGCTAGGGGATGGTTGGGGAAGGAAAGGAGTCTTTAGCAAAAGCTCCAGCTAATTTAAGAAGAGATAATAGAATAGAATCAGCATTTTTCAACCCTGAATGAATTAGAAGATCTGGGCTTTGCTCATCAATGGCTGCTGACATCCCTAAAAGACAGGTGATATATAATTCCTAAGGATTAGTCTCACCAAAAAATCAAATCTACACCTGTTAAGGCCTCTTCTAGATCGAACTTCCATTTTACAGGAAATACAGAAGCCAGAGGAGCATGTTAAACTGTCCTGTGGAGATGTAGTCAGCAAAATCCTGACCATGGAGAACTCTGCCAGACAAATAACTCAGTGCAAGGAAAGAAAGCTCAGAAGAGGGGAACCTATTGATTAAAAGGCATATCAGTCAACTGTAATGTGCAAATCTGATGAGGATCCTGATTTTTTTTTAAACAATATTAAAATGTTATGAAATTTACAAGATAAGTGAAAATAGGATCACTGACTATTTACAGGGGTGAGCAAAAATCAGTTTACAGTTGTGAGTATGCAAAAAGTTTATTTTTGTATTATTATTTATTAACTAGAGGCCCTATGCATGAAATTCATTCAAGGGGTTTGGCCCCCACCATCACTGTGGCTGCCTCTGCCTCGGTCCCCACTGCTTCAGCCTCATCGGAAGGTCATCTAGAAGGATGTCCAGAAGGACATCCAGTCTAATAAGCATATTATGCTTTTATTATTATAGATTATTGTATTGTTTTCCATACAAAAAACTGTAAACCTACATTTTCCCCACCCCTGTATTTAAAAACAATAAGAAATTTCCCTGGCTTATGTTACTCAGTGGTTAAACCTGAACCAAAGGGTGGCAGGTTTGATTCACAGCCCTTGTCGGAGAGCATATGGGAGGTAGCCAATGTACCATATTTTTCGGACCATAATACGCACTTTTTTCCCCCCAGAAGTGGGGGGAAAAAGTCCCTGAGTCTTATGGTCCAAATATAGCCTACACATATACTTTAAAAAAAAAGTTTTTTTTACTTGCCCGGCTCTGTGTGGTCTCTGTGTGCTTGCCCGGCTCTAAAATGGTTCTAAATGCTGCTGTTTACTTTACAGGGTTGATTACATGTGTTTATGACTGTGATGTTGGGTTTTAATGCACATAAAATATTTTAGGACACTATTTGTTTCAGAATCTTTTTTTCTTCATTTCCCTTCTCTAAAAACTGGTGCTTCTTATGGTCCGGAGCGTCTTATGGTCCGAAAAATACGGTATGTGTCTCTCACACCAATGTTTCTCTCTCCTCTCTCTCTCTCTCTCTCTCTCTCTCTCTCTCTCTCTCTCTCTCTTCTCTCCCTTCCATTCTATAAAAATCAATGGAAAAAAATATCCTCACATGAGGATTAACAAAAAATAAATAAAAACAATAGGAACTATGTATTATTACTTTCTAGGTGTGATAATGGTATAATTTTTGGTGGTTGTTATTCCTCATCTGAGGATATTTTTTCCATTGAATTTTTTTTTTTTTTTTTTTTTTTTTTTTTTTTTTTTTTTTTTTTTTTTTTTTTTTTGTCTTTTAGAGAGAGTGGAAGGGATCAACTCTGCAACCTAGGTATTTTCCCTTGGCCATAATCAAACTCATCACACTTTGGTTCATAGGCCAACATTCTAACCACTGAGAAACACTGGCCAGGGTGGTATTGTGGTAATTTTTATGGAGTCCTTATGTTTTAGAGTTACAAACTTAAATATTAAAGAGGACATGATATGATGTCTACATTTGCTCTGAAATAATCCAAGGAATGGATGTGGGTGGGTGTAGCTGGGACATGACTGAAATGATTTGATGGGTGTTGAAACAGATTGACAGATGCATAAGGGTTTGTTTGAATACTGTCTCCATTTGGAGATGTTTGAAATTATTCATTGGTTGTCCTCTGAAGTGTGCTGAGCTAGTAGACTGCCAAGAAATCTAAACTTCTCCTTTTGTGCCCATGCAGTGCTCCAAGAGCTGCCAGGGGGGCTTCCGGGTCCGTGAAGTACGCTGTCTGTCAGATGACATGGCCCTAAGTAATCTCTGTGACCCTCATTTGAAACCAGAAGAGAAAGAATCCTGCAACCCTCAAGACTGTGTCCCTGAAGTTGGTAAGTAGGGATCCCTATCCTGGAATAAAGATTCATCTTTGTTAAGCTCTGTCAAGTTCTCTGGTGTGAAATGCATCCAGGTGGAATTCAGGGTCAAAGTACTTTTGGTATGTTAAGTTTATAAGCATGGATGGTAATCTAAGCCACCCACCAAAACTTAAATGGGAATTGATTATAAGGGTAATGCATTCAGAGACTTGGTTCCATCATCCTTAAGGTCAAAGTAGTGAGATTTCAATGTCATATTTAAGGGGGAAAAAAGGCCTATCTGGTTTGGCTCAGTGGATAGAGCATCAACCTGTGGCCTGAAGGGTCCCAGGCTCAATTCCACATACCTCAGTTGCAGGCTCCTTTCCAACCTGGGCCTGGTTGGGACACATGCAGGAGGCAACCAATCAATGCGTTTCTCTCACATGGATATTTCTCTCTCTGTCTTTCCCTCTCTCTTACACTCCCTCAAAAAATCAATGGAAAAATATTCTCAGTTGAGGATTTTTAAATAAATAATCCTACCTAATAAAAGAGTAATATGTAAATTAACCATCCTCTGCTACAACCACAAACCACACCCACCAGCCAATCAGAGTGAGCATGCAAATTAACCCCAACCAAGATAGCTGCCACCACAAATAGTAGGAGGGAGGTTTGGGTTTCCCCAGCAATGGAGGAAGCCAAGCTTTCCACACACCCTGGCCGGCCCAGGCCTCAACTCAAGGATACAAAGTTTCAATTATAGAAGATAAAACCCAAGAAAAACAGCAGCAGCCACGGAGCTGGAGAGAGAAGGCTAAGGTTTTACCCAGGGATGGAGGAAGCCAAGCTTTCCACCTGCCCTGACTGGCCCAGGCCTCCACTCAAGGTTACCAAGTTTCAATTATAGAAGGTGAATAAATCTCAATAGAAATGGTTGCAGCCATGGAGGAAGCAGAAGGCTTGGCTTTGCTCCAGGCTACAAAGTTTCAATTGTAGAAGATAAATAAATCCCAGATACCAGGGCCTCATCTTGGGTCGCCAGGGGGTGTAGCTGGCTTGCAAACCAACACAGGCCCCTCACCCAGGCTGCCCCATGCCCCAAGGGAACCCCCACCCTGATCTGGGACACCCTTCAGGGCAAACCAGCTGGCCCCCACCCATGCACCAGGCCTCTATCCTATCTAATAAAAGAGTAATATGCAGATTGAAAATCACTCTGACACACAATATCAAGATAGCTGCCCCCATGTGCACACATGATGGCTGTGACAAGATGGCCAGCAGGAGAGAGCAGTTGGGAGGGACCAGGCCTGTAAGGAAGGGCAGTTAGTGGCAATCAAGCCTGCAGGGGAGGGCAGTTAGGGGTGACCAGGACAGCAGAGGAGGGGAATTTGGGGCAAAAAGGCTGTCAGGGGAGCAGTTAGACATCAATTAGGCTGGCAGGGGAGTGGTTAGGAGGTAATCAGGCTGGCAGGCAGAAGTGGTTAGGGGCAATCAGGAAGGCAGGCAGGTGAGCAGTTGGGAGCCAACAGTCCTGGATTGTAAGAGGATCCCAGATTGGCTGTACTGAGGGACACACAACCCCCATGCATGAATTTCATGTACCGGGCCTTTAGTCTACATATATAAAAGGCTAATATGCAAAGTGTCCCCTCTGGAGTTTGACTGGGAGTTTGATCACTCACTATGGTGTGCACTGACCACCAGGGGAGGGGGTGGCATTGGTTGGGTGCTGCGGGAGTGAGGGAAAGAGGAGGTTGGGAGGCAGGGAGTCAGGGAATCTGACCAACCCTGATCACTGGCTAGGCCTAGGGACCCTACCTGTGCACAAATTTCCTGCATTGGGCCTCTAGTCCTATCTAATAAAAGAGTAATATGCATATTAACCATCACTCCACTACACCAGAAGCCATGCCCACCAGACAATCAGGAGCGAGTATGCCAATTAACCCAACCAAGATGGCTGTGGCCATGGAGCCATCAGGAGGCTTGGGTTTCCTCAACAATGGAGGAAGCCAAGCTTTCCCCACACACTGGCCAGCCTAGGCCTCCACTCAAGGCTACAAAGTTTCAATTATAGAAGACAAATAAATCCCAGATACCAAGGCCTCTGCTTGGGTCACTGGGGGTGTGGCCAGCCTGTGAACCACCACAGGACCCTTGCCCAGGCCACCCCAATCCCCAAAGGACCCCTGCTCCCCGATCCAGGACACCCTTCAGGACAAGCCAACCTGCCCCAACTGGAGTACCAGGCCTTTATCCTATCTAATAATGCAAATTGACCATTATTCCAACACATAAGATGGCTGCCCCCATGTGGACACAAGATGGCTGTCACAAGATGGTCAGCAGGGGAGGGCAGTTGGGAGGGACCAGGCCTGCAAGGGAGGACAGTTGGGGGTGATCAAGCCTGCTGGGGAGGGCAGTTAGGGGTGACCAGGCCTGTAGGGGAGAGCAATTGGGGGGGGGGGGGAACTAGGCTTGCAAGGGAGGGCAGTTAGGGTGACCAGGCCTGCTGGGGAGGGCAATAGGGACAAACAGGCTGGCAGGGGAGCAATTAGGCATCAATTAGGCTGGCAGGTGAGTGGTTAGGAGGTAATCAGGCTGGCAGGCAGAAGTGATTAGGGGCAATCAGGTGAGAGGAATGTCCAACAGCCCAGGATCAGGCCTAAACGGGCAGTTGGACATCCCTCAAGGGGTCTCAGATTGGAAAGTGTTCAGGCTGGGCTGAGGGACAGCCCCCACCAGTGCATGAATTTCAAGCATCGGGCCTCTAGTAATAATAATAAAGGAAAAGAAAAATGCAAACTCTTAGTTCACACCCACACTCCATCAGCAATAGGCAGCAGGACCAGGATGGAGAGCCCTCACCTTGCTTTGTCTCCCCAGTAGTCCAGGCTGCCCCTCGTGCTCAGAGCATTTTGTTCTCTTCTGCTACAGATGAAAGCTGCAAGGACAGATACTACAACTGCAATGTGGTGGTGCAAGCCCGCCTCTGCGTCTACAACTACTACAAGACTGCCTGCTGTGCCTCCTGCACTCGCGTGGCCAACAGACACTCAGGCTTCCTGGGGAGCAGATAACACCTCTGCTCCTACTCAAGGGGCAGAGCAGTGAGTCTGTAAGAGGCTGACCATCAGGCTGCTGATCCACCAGGGCTTCCTGGCCCAGGGTGCTGCCAGCCAATTTGGTCACCAGCCTCACCTTCACTAAAGTGTACACACAGTGCCAGGCACAGAGTCATGGCTCTGAGCATCACCATCAACTGAATTTCTCTCCTTGGGAAACCTGAAAACCTCTAAGAGTGATCTCTGAAAACCAGTCAGGGGGGCGTGCAGGCAGCTCTCAGCCAACCTCTCCTGGGATTTTCTAAGGCAGCCCTGACTGAACACTATCTCCCCGAGGGTGCTATTGGCCTTTCCAATATCAGCACCCCCTGGAGAGTCAAAGGAGGCAGCACCCCTAACCCAGGGCACCACGGAGACTTGCTGAGATGCCAGCATCCCTGTTACCTCAGCCCTGCTGTGCCTTTCCTCATTCTCAAAGACATTAGGTTGTTTGCCTGCATCATGACACAAACATCTCATGTCATGCAGTGCTTTATTGTTTCACAGGTATATTCACAGATATTAATTCATTAGCAGCTTACAACACCCAAGAAGGGTGTTGTCCCTATTGTACCAGCAAAAAAACTGAGACTCATTGACCTCCCAGCCATATTCACCTGTTCACTGGAAGAGCTGAGTCCCAACCCAATCTGACCACAAAACCCTCACCCCAAGGACTGTATAGAAGTCTTAAGTCTTCAGGATGCACTTCATTTCAGAACAAGAGTGAGAATTTCCTAATTAGCAAATGAAACCCAGGACTTTGAATTCTTCCCTCCAGCCAAAGGTCAAAACTTTATCCCAGCATCAGTTGTTTTAGAAGTCTGTTTCTACCAATCCCTTCCCCCACAGTCACAGGCCCTCATCACAGGATTCTATAGCTTTTGTTAAGCCTGTCCTTAAAGGAACTCTCTCTTGAGACCATAAAGGCACTGGGTATCAGTCATTGCCTGAAATTCTGACTTCATTCCCCAGTGAGATGTTTCCCCTGGAACCAAAAGTCAGGGTCCCTTTGGCCACAACAGTCCCTTTCTGGCCCCAGAGCAGATTTCCAGAGCTGTGTGCTCAGCCCCTCCTCAGCCACCTGCCTGGTAAAAAGTGTAACCAACCCACACTGGCAAAAACCTCGTTTCTATTAGAAAGAATTTCCTTTTGGTCTTTTTGTTTTGATTTATGAATTTCTTTCTATTACTTCAAATCGCTTTTTTCTCACCCAGGACTGACAATCCATGTCCCCGCCCCACTCCCAGACATGAGCACTAAGACCTACATTAATGGAGCTAGTCTGGGAGGAGGGGCTGTGAGCTCCAGTGACAGTTGCACCAGAGGGCTCTTCCCTGACTCACCTCGCCTAACTCTGTAGTTCCAGAGCCTGTGGGGAGTTAGTTGGGGGGGGGGGGGGGGGGGGGGGGGGGGGGGGGGGTGTAACAGTGCCTATTGAGAGATGAACTCTGGAAAATCCATTAAGAAGAAGAAAATATATGTATATATTTTTTCTTTTACCCATTAAGAAAAGTACCAAGCTAAACAAGTTGTAAGCTCTTAGTACTGTGGTCCTGGGCCCATTTCCCTTTTATAGCAAGCCTTAGCAATTGTGTTTCTCCCATGAGCCCTTTAAACCAGAAGTCTGCTAATTAGATGATCAGTTGCCATTTTTGGAAGCAATATCACCAGTTAGATCTGATACACTGTTAGGTTCCCACTACCCTTGAGTTTTCAGGAATTCTCTTTGGCTTTCCTGTGGCTGTCCTCTTCCTGGGGAGCCCCAGCACCACTTCCCAGAAGCACCCCATCTCTCCTGGTTCTTATGAGACTGCTGCAGAGAAGCAGGCAGGAAGAGGCCAGACTCCTCCTGCCACCAAGTGTATCAGTGATTTAATCCAGTTCCTGTCCCCCACCTCCTTTCATTAGAGGCTTTTGCTTCTAATCACAAGGGGAGTTTGTCCTTGATGCAACTGCTCTCAGAGCTGCTGAACAAGGCAGCCATCTGTAGGAGTCCTTAGAAGAGGCTGTCTTTACACATTGGAGGGCGGGCTGGACCAGTGGATGGGAGAGCAGGAAGGGTGATTTCAGCTCAAATTAAAGGAAAACTTTGTAGCTATGCAAGCTGCCAACAGAGATGTGGCATCATTTATGAGTGTGCTCTCCATCCTAAGTAGGACTCTGTTGTGTGGGAGGTGAACATCCCAGTTCCTTCCACCCAGGATTTCATGATGTGCTGGTCAATGATGTCTTTATCTCTGACATCTGATAATGTCTGTGTCTCCCAATGTTCCCTAACATTTCTTTAAAGCACAGTGATCCTTCCATGATAATGGCCATTGTGGAATTGGGTAGGGTGCATCTCTTTACTTTGCGGGGAGCAAGCAGAAGTACCTAAACTCAGAGGCTTTATTCTCTTCCAACAAATAGCTGAGCTATTCTTGGAATTCATTTATCTCTGGAATTGTTATAAAATTTCTAGAACAGGGGTTTTATTTGTTTATTTGTCTTAGAAATCCAATTTTTACTAATTTTCTACCTTCTCGTGTCAGCATCCAAATGCTTTTGTCCTTAGCATAGCACATCAGATAAAGTCACTTGATGTTTTCAGTGACCACGTGCCTATGTAGGGAATCTAAGGAAAGCTCACCTTTTGATGGCTCCCTCCCTCCAGATGTGTCTAACTCTCCCTTTCCTGGACCCTATGATTCTGCTTTCTTTCCATTACTTGCCACTCCCTTCTCAGTCCTCTCCATGTTCCATTAACTAGCCACAGTGCAAACCTGAAATTTACATTTGATAGTGCCCCCCCCCCTTTTTTTTCCCCTGTGTACTGGATTGCCTTATCTCTGCCCTGAATTTTAAAATTAGGTGAATTTAAGCTGTTAATCTGTTTTCCTCACAATCAACAGAGCTCTAAACAGAAATAGTTTCTTTGCCCTCATGACAGGACCTCTCAGAGCTGTATCTAACTGTTCCTTTGCCTTATTTCTCTGGTCTAGGGTTCTTTTTCATTTTCCTTTTTCATTTCCTTGAATATGTATCATTTAGATATTCTCAGAGTTCAATATTCAGCACTCTTTTTCCTCTAAAACAAATGGCTTTATAGACAAATGAAAAATGGGAAGCAAGCTTAATTTATTTCCATGCAGTTGTGTGGCAAAGAGAGAAATCCAGATATTACTAATATTACTAGCATCATGCTAAGCCAATGTATTTTTTTTTAATATGGCCATTTTAGAGTTTAAATGTCAGTTCTTTAATGTGGAAGAAGACACAAATATAAGTGGTATAAAGAAATAGGGCTTACCTAAAAGCAGGCTTCATACTCAAACCTGAAGGAACCTATGCCAGCATGGCAGGTGGGGACCAATAGTTGATCCATGCTGTGTGAAACATTGTCAGTGTGACTGAAGGGGGAAATAGTGCCTTGCTAGTGAAATTTGTAGATGACATTGGCATTGGCATTGGAGATGGCAGGTTCTGGACCCAAAATGATCTGGGAAACTATTGACCAGGGAAAAACATATAGTCCTACCTTTGGGTTTTTTTAAAAAAATACTATACAAGTACAAGGTGTGGATGATATAAGAGTTTTGGTTGACTAAGCTCAGTGTGAGTCAGGAAAGTGGGATGTAACCACACACACACAAAAAAATTAAACAGAAAACACTTGGACTACATAAGGAGCATACGTTGGTGAGCACTATTATTATGGAGAATGTCAGCTGTATGTAACATTCAGCTGAGCATGCCCAGTCCTGATGAGCTCTGCAGGCTGTTCAAACAGGAAAAAAGACTTTATAATGGTTAGCCTGGAGTCCTTGGGATAGCTATCCAGGAACAGGAGATAAAACTACAGGAAGGCAAATTCCAACTCTTGCAGAAGAATGAGCTTTCTGAAAATTAGAGCATTCAGGAGGCAGAGCCCACCTGGCCAGTGATGGCTGTCCTGTCACTGGTGGTCTGAGCAGAGGCTGAAATGGCCTTTTGTCAGGGATGCTGTAGAGGGGATTCAAGCACCCAGCTGGGGCAATAGACTTAAGATCCTTACCAAGTCTGGGTTTGGGTGACTCTATAAGTAGAACAGCTTTAAATGATTCTCCAGGTCTGCAATGGCCAGTGCAGGCACACCTACTTCCCATTCCTGTGTCTGCAATTTGAACCCTATGTTGCACCCCTCCGAGCTCAATGTAGCCACCAGAGAACCACTAGAAAACTGGTCAGAGTTGCTCTGACTCGTCCTGCTTTGTAGATGAGTAACCAAACGTCCCGATGGACAGTTCCATGCTCAGGGTCACATGCCTTGATGGCAGCAGAGCCTCTACTAGACTAGGACCCTCTAATACCACCTCTCTTCCTCAATTTACCTTCCTTTTCTGCACCTTTGCTGGAGCAAAGTAACCCTCTCCACCCGGAACAGTCCCACCTGCGAATTACAGTGGGAGCCATCCTCCATGTTGAGGAATGTGACCATGAGAGGCTGGGAACTTCCAACCATCTTCCTCACCCACCATCTTTCAGACATGAGCCCTTGGCCTCAGTGAGAGGAAAGCCATCCTGTTACATAAACTAACTGCACCAGCTTTGACCCCCAGGCTCCCACCATTCAGCTTGACAGAAGTATATACTTTGTTATAACTTATTATTTGTTCTGTGTAAATACAAGATGTTTATAGGAAATATGTATTCTGAACTCTATTGGCAGTATGAGTCACTACACCAAAATAGTTCTTTTATTTAGAATAAATTAATTTTAAAGGAACCTAATAGGTATTTATTTACATATGCAATCCACATTTGTGTAAAATCATTTGATCCTACTGGAAAGTTGCTACCTAATATCTTACCCTAAAACTGTAGTTATGATTTAATATACTGATTAGTCAAACTCCTTGGATCTAAAGATCAAATATAAATTACGTGGCTTTTCGACTTGCTCGGGGCTTTTTCCCCCTGGCATTGTACCCATCTATATTGCCATCTTTTCATTTTAAATATTATATTTGGTCATATGATATGCCCTCCCTTCATGCCCAAACACTTGGAAAATGAAATATGAGGGTCTTTCCCTGCCTCCTCTGTCTCACCTCCTTCATGAAAGTTGCCAGCATTACGTAAGTTGCGGGAGGCTCAGTGAGAGCCCTGGATGAAGCAGTCTCCCTCCCTGCATTTACTGACTGCCCTGTTTCCAGGGCCCCCTGGTCACTGCTAAGGGGGGGCTCTTGGCTTTCCTATCAACTAACTGCATAGTCAGGAGCAAAGACCCTGCTGAGTACTCCACTGACTTGTGCCACCTTGTGATGTTAAATTATTGTTTAAAGAGGTGGAATGTGAAGGTTAATTATATGAGTAAATACAGTCTGTTTTCTCTTCAGCAAAAATGACAACTATTTTTGTGTATGACTAAATTATTTTTATTATTGTAAAAATACAATAAACTGGTTAAGAGATCAGCTTTATTAACACATTTGTGCTCACATTGCTTTAAACAGCCCCCTCCAAAGAAGAACCGAGCCCTTTAGAGGTGGGTTGGCTTGTCAGACTTAGGTTCCGGGCACTCTGTGGGTGGCTGGGCCACTTAGAGAACAGAGCCCATCTTAGATACAAAGGCTGATAGCCTGTGGTTTGTGCATGTCCTCAGCTTGGCTGTGTGTGAGGATCACCAGAGGAGCTTAAGATAACATATTCAGGAGAGTAGCTACCCTGGATGGCCCTTGTCTGGTCCCTTTTTAAACGTCCCTCAGGCAGGAGAAAAGGTAAGACCCATTGTACCATTCAGTGTGGCTCCATCTCCCAACTTGACTAAAACTTCTTCCTACTTCCCTCGGGCTGGCTTCACCTTAGTTGTGAGTTAAGCAAAGTATTTAACAAATTCTTTCAGATTATCATGGTGTGTAATAAAGGGAAATATGACTTAGGCTATGACACCTGTGGAAAGTCACCCTGGCCTAGATCTCTAGTGGAGTGCCCATGAGCTCTGTCTCAACTCCATCCTGCATGGCATTTCATCAGTAACTCTCAGAAACTTATTCTTATGCCTGAAATGTGCTTCCCACCCCTCTCACCCACCTTTTTCTTGCCTAGAAAATCTTCATTTACTCTCTTTTTCAATTATGGTAAAATTCTTGTAGCATAAAATTCATTCATTTACTTATCTTAAAGTGTACAATTCAGTGGTGTTTAATGCACTTCATGACGTGCAATACCCAAATCCTGCTGAGTACTCTTACACACTCTATCTTGTTCACTCTTCACGTAGACACAAAGTTAGATAATTATTTATACCCTTTGATAAATGAGAATTCAGAGCAGTTTGGTGCAGCTGCCACTTGGTGGCACCAGATTTCCACAGTCAGCTTGTCCTCAGGCGGGTGGTGTGCTTCTCCAGCACCAGCCCCCAGGGCCTGGCATCCTCACTGTCCAAGAACGTATTAGTTCCAGTCTCTTTCTCCACACCTATTCCAATCATTGGACAACGGCTGCATGAGCACTGGATGGGGGCTTAGCTGTTGATGACACGTCTGTTGAGATTTATTGTAGTTTTACCAAGCTTGGTATGACAGACCTGATCATACTGCATATGAAGATATGTAATCACCATCCAGAGGGAGAAAATGAACCTTCTCTGTTCTTGGGACCAGACTCAGCTGGATCTCTTGGTCTCCAGTTCAAGGGACCACACGCCATACATGTTGATTGAACTCCAAGAAAGAGCCCAGAGATGGTGGTCAGGATGGTGATTGGGATTGGGAGTGTCTGGAAGGGAAACTGTCTTCAACCATCTTCAAAATCTCCAGCACTATCAGGACAGTGACAAGAACCTGGAAACTATAGCAAATCAGTAAAGAGAAGGGGCAGGGAGTCAGACTTGGTTCAGACAAGACGTTTCTGTATTAGAGAGACACTTAGAGAACAGGGTTCAGCTGTGAAAGTGGGAAAGGGTATTTTGAGACCCTAAAAAAAACACATTTGGGCAGAGGGAAAATTTGAATATGGGCTGAAGTTAAGATGATACAGGGGAATCATATAAAACTTCTTGGAAGGGGTGTCTGGTGTCTGGTAGAGCATGAGTGTGCACTGCTGCAGTCGTGAGGCCCTGGTATCTGCAATTCACTCTCCTAGCGGCTGGCACCATCACTGTGTAAGCACCCCTCTGTGGGTAGACAGGATGCATGCAGATAAGGTGAACACACTGGTGGATACAAGCAAAGGGCATGTGTGTTCATTACACTATTTTTTACTTTTCCAAGATTTCACATTTTCTAAAATAAAAATTGAGGGGATAAAGTACAAAATAAGAGAGAATTAAGAGAACTAACTTTTTTTTTCTTTTCAATTTTCACATTTGTCTAATGACCTAATCACCTGGAGTGCTCCTCAATGCCCCTGAGCTCTCTAAGGGTGCACACACACCATTGCTCCTCTTACCCACAGAGCCTGGTGCAGCTGTGTGTCCGGCACCTGAACACATGCAGGGCACCCACAGAGGCAAGCACAGCATCTGTAAGGCCAGCTCATGCCGGTAGTGATCCTTAGCATCAATAATTTATTGAGCACCTGCTATGTGCCAAATATCCTTTAGATCCTTTACATGATCTAGTTTAATCTTCACAACTCAAGAAAGGAGCACTTCATTGTGTGGCCATTTTGTGGATACATAAATTGAGATTCAAAGAGAATAATTTGACCATTAAGCGGCAGGTCAGCCTTAGGTTTTCATTATGCTTCATTTTGTAATGAAATCAACTATATTTTAGGTAATGTTGGGACTCCCTCTCTTCCACTCCCTCTCCCCCCCCCCCTGCCACACACACACACACACACACACACACACACACACACACCCCTACCCTGCCCTCAGATACTCTAGTTGTCAGTTCTTGAGGGTGGAGACCAGGAATTGGTGTTCTGGAATTAGCAGGGAATTCTAGGGCTGAGAACCACTGGGAAGGGTGTGTAAGTCATCTGGGTCTTGCTGGACTTCACTTTCTGATTTGATGACTGGTATGTGGCCTGAGATTCTGCGGGTCTTGTAAACTCCCAGGTGAAGCTACTGCTTTGAAATGAGGTACTTAAATTAACCCTTAAGAAAGTTGAGGGTTTTCTTGTTTTTGTATTGGGAAGTTGAGCCATTGACTGCTGAGATTCTTTATGAAAGTGTTCTATAAAGTTGAGATGCTTTTCCTTAATCTACCAGTTTGTTCCTTCAATCAGTGAAACACAGACTCTAAAAGTGTTTGATGTCTTTTTACTCATGACATGCATTATTTAAATTTTTAACCAGATAATCTATGTATCATCCAGTCATTCATTTGGTCACACTTAGAAGAAAATCTGGTTACACTGACTTAGGGATTTGTTGTGTGTGTTTTTTTTTTTTTTTTTTTTTTTTTTTTTTTTTTTTTGTTTGTTTCTTTGTTTGTTTTTCCTAATGAAAAATTGGAAGGAAAGCAGTTGCTGGCATTGGTTCAGCAACTCGACAGTTTTGGGGCCAGCTTCTTTGCAGTTCTCTTGGCCTCTTCCTCATGGTTGCAAGACAGTTTCTCTGGCACCAGTTCTTTTCATCAGCTTCCGGGCAGGAAGGAGGCAGGGCAATTGCAGCTGCATTTGTCTCCATTTACTAAGAAAGCAAACATTCCTAGAACCCCTTTCCCTGGCAAACAAACGTCCACTTAGATCTCATTGACCCAAAGGGTTCCATGCTATTTTAGCTGCAACACAGAGAAAGGATTGTCCTGATTAGCTCGGACCAATCAGCATCCACCTGCAGGTGCTGGACACATGGTGGCGGTGAGAGCACAGACTTGTGGGGAGGAGCAGCGAGTCCAAGCCCTGCCCTGCCCTCTCCACTGCTCTAGCCTCCAGGGAGCTGCTCCTTAAGTGGCTTGAGGCTTCCTAACCCTAACAAATACGTGTTGACTAAAGGGAGATGTAGTCAACACATATTTATTGAGCATAAACCACGTGCCAAGCATAGTTTAGGGCACTAGAGACAGGTAGACTTTACAAAATGCTGTACAACCTGAAACTTTTGCAAATAAGGAGACACCTCCTCCACCAAAGCAGCAGACAGAATCAGTGCAGCCAGGTTTCCAAGGTAAATGGCAAATAAGCGGACGTCATGTCTACCTCTCTGCTTCCTGACAGCTGGGATGGGTGGTGCTCGGCAGATTCTATTTCTGACCAGGCAGGCAGGGAACACACACTGGCAGTGCCTCCTCTGTGCAGCACCACCAACACTTTCTTTCATACCAGCAACCACTTGGCAGCAGGGAAAGCCGGGTCTTAGCCAGATTAGGAAACTAACTTGTGATCACACAGGTCATAAGCGCTGAGGAACTCACGCCCACGTCAAAACTTACACCTGTTCCTCTTCAATGCTCACTCTCCATGTGTAAAGCTACACTTGGCTCCCTGAGTGTGTGCTATGCATTACAGCCAAGGCTGCTGTGTCCTTATAGAGGTTCCCTGGCTTGGGGTGGAGAGCTGAGGGCACTGGCAGCTCTTCTGTGAAGTTTTCTCTCTCACTCTATTGCCTCCAGGAAAAATGCTTCCCTGCTACTTCTGTGACCTACTTTTACATGTGATTGTAAGCCCAAAGTCAATCTTGTTTGACAGCTGGCCAGGATGCAAGAGGGACAAAAGCAGACCGACTTAAAGCATCTGCTTTGCTTGAACTTGATACCAACATCAGCTACTGCTCTCTTACCCTGACAACAGAATTTGTGGCTCCTAGCTCCACCTGAGCCCTGGGTAGTCTTCCCTAACTTTTACACTCATCTTTGCTTTGTGGCTCACTGACCCATGCCCCACTCACCTGATCCTGTTTGTCTTACCTAACCTATATAATAAAAGCCTAATATGCTAAGTGTCTAGTTGTCTGGTCATCCATTCAACTTATCAAAGCATAATATGCTAATGATATGCTAAGGTCATTCAACCACTTGCTATAATGTGCACTGATCACCAGGGGGGCAGACACTCAGACTGGTAGGTTAGCTTGCTGCTGGGGTCCAGTCGATTGGGACTGAGCGAGACAGTATGGACATACCCTGGAGCCTTCCTGCAGTCCCTCCCTGGCTGGCCAACCTCCCATGTCCCTCCCTGGCCCTGGTTGTGCACAAGTGGGGTCCCTTGGCCTGATGACCTGCACCCCTCACAATCCAGGATCCCTCAGGGGATTTCGGAGAGCTGGTTTTGGCCCAATTCCACCAAGGGACCCACTGGTGCATGAACTCATGCACCACACCTCTAGTTATTATATAACAAACTATCTCCCAAACTTAGTGACTTAAAACAACAGCCATTTGATTATTCTTCATGATTCTGTGGGTGAGGTGCCCACAGGTACACTGGGCACAGCTTCTGTCTTCTCCTTGTGATATCCACTGTGGCCGAATTGCCCAAGGCAGCTCCTTCATGCCCAGGCCTGAGGCTGGCTGAACTGGCCACATTGCCTTGCCCAAGGTCCTAGATCTAGGGCCTCAGTTCTCGCTGTTGGCTAGAATCCTTGCTTCTTCCCTTTGTAGTCTTGGGGCCTCACCCTCTCCAATGTCCTCTTCATGTGGTCTCTCCTTGTAGCTTGGGTTTCTCAAACATAGTGATTAGAGGGGGATGACCACACAAGAGAGGAAGAGGCTGCCAGAGCCCTTGAGGCTGGCTGTGAAATCCCAGACACCACTTCTGCCTCATTCCATTGGCCAATGCTCACCACAGGCAGCCCAAATTTGGAGGTGGGGGAAGGGAGGCAAGGCCCCTCAGCCTGCCCTGACCTGTGATTTTTGTGTCTCCATTTACAAGTGAACAAAAGTGAATCTCCTTTGTGATTCATTTTCAGTCACTCACTTATTCAACAAACTCTGTGGCCAGCACTGAGTATGAACCAATGCACCAAGTGGAGCGTACATTCGAATGGGGGAGACAGAAAATGGAAACAAAGAAGTAACTTATGCTGCCACTCGGCCATGTATGCTATGAAAACAGCAAAGCTGAGAGATGAATGGGACATGGTGGAGATTGGCAGGGTGCCACAGAACAAACTAGCCACAGGCAGGTCTGGGTGAGGGCGGTGAGGGGCAGGGAGGTGCAAAGGCCTGCTGCACTAGAGCAGGCCCAAAGTGTCCAGAAACGGAGCGAACAGGAAGTGGGGGGGGGGGGGGCGAAGAGGAGATGAGGCCAGACACCTTGGAAGCTAAGACTTTGATTTCCACATGAGAGAGACAGGAGGCCAGTTAGGCATCCAGGCAGAGGAGTGATGGGATTCAAGTAAGGTCAGCTGCCTGAGAGGCCTGCACTGCATTTACTGTGCCCCAAACGCCCACTTTCCTGGGTTAAACTGTTAGCATTGGAGGCAAGCTGAGAAATGCCAGCTCAATGAAAACACTGACTTAGGAAACCCACTTAACACAATGTAACAAAAGTGGTAAAGCTGAATATATCCTTTCACTTAATAATTCCATGCCTGGGAATTCATCCTGGGGATAGAATATAATAACTCAGAGTTTTCAGGAGTGTTTTCATAATGTTTTTTCATTTTGTGCTTTAATGTTAATAATAATCTTGTTTCAATAGGCATGAACATATATACTCCATTTTCTTAGTTTCCTCTTTATGGCCAAATACCATTGGTTCCAGCATTGGGACCAGGTAGTATTAGTTTGTCATGTGCTGAGCTACCGTGAGAAGCATGGAGTCAAATTCAGTATTAAAAGATACATTCCTTGCTACCAAGCAAAAGCCAAATTATATCACAGACTTGCTGCTTGAGATAAGGGTCTTCAATAGTATGTGTAGACAAGAGTTGTAAGTTACCTGTCATTACATGCCAAACCTAAAAGAATTCACACCATTTAGTTGGTCCCTATATCCATGTTGGCAACCGAGTTTCGGCAAAACATTATATATTTTATCAATGTTGTTGCTTTTAATGTTGTTTGGCAATAGTGTTTTTACTTAATTAGCAATTTCCTTTTGATTACATAGTTCTATAACAGTTATAATCCCTCTACTTCATTTTATTTTTTAAACATTGGTGTTAAACATTAAATTATTCTGTTCAAACTTGGGGAAAAGTGAAATAATTAGTTTTCCTTTAAAAGTTGTTTGGATGTTGCCCTAACAGATTTGGCTCAGTGGATAGAGCATCGGCCTGCAGACTGAAAGGCGGCAGGTTCGATTCCTGTCAAGGGCATGTACCTTGGTTGAGGGCACATTCCCAGTAAGGGGTGTGCAGGAGGCGGCTGATAGATGTTTCACTCTCATCGATGTTTCTAACTCTCTATCCCTCTCCCTTCCTCTCTATAAAAAATCAATAAAATGTATTTTTTAAAATATATTTTATTGAGTTTTTACAGAGAAGAAGAGAGAGGGATAGAGAGTTAGAAACATCGATGAGAATCATCGATCAGCCACCTCTTGCACATCCCCCACTGGGGATGTACCCACAACCAAGGTACATGCCCTTGCCTGAAATCAAACCCAGGACCTTTCAGTCCGCAGGCCTATGCTCTATCCTCTGAGCCAAACCAGTTTCAGCAAAATGTATTTTTTTTTTAAGTTGTCTGGATGTTACTCAAGAGAGAGCAACACTGGAATAACTAGAGGTTATTCAAACTATTCAAAACATCTTTTTCTGCTATTGACTCACTGAAAAATGACACCGTGCCTGCTGCAGGAGCTGCCCTGACAGGTTGGTCCCACAAGGACTTGGAATGGACAGCTCATTTATCCTGGTAGTGACCACGCTCTGGGAGAGAGAACAGGCAGATCTGTGCCTAGAAAGTTCTTCAGCTCCCAGGCTCAGAGCATGCATGCTTTATGTCACTTGGACTTTCTTTCAGGTGATCTCAGTCATGATCTTCTGTATAACCTCCTCCCACACCCTTCCAGCTCCCTTACCTCTTGCCATCACAGTTGGCACCCAAGACTCCTCTGACCCATCCTGCCCCATGCCAAACATCTGCTGTGCAGGACATGTCCTCTGAACCAAGCTGTGTTTGCCTAATCCTATTGCTTTCATACTTTCTTTTCTTACTTATCCTATATAATAAAGAGGTAATATGCAAATTGACTATCACTCAAACACACAAGATTGCTGCCCCCATGAGGTCAAAAAATGGCCACCACAAGATGGCCGGCAGGGGAGGGAAGTTGGGGGTGACCAGGCCTGCAGAGAAGGCAAGGCAGTTAAGGGTCACCAGACATACAGAGGAGGGAAGTTAGGGGCAATTGGGCCAGCAAGGGAGCAATTAGGCATCAATCAGGCTGGCAGGGGAGTGGTTGGGGGTGATCAGGCTTGCAGGCAGAAGCGATTAGGGGCAATCAGGCAAGCAGATGAGCGGTTGAGAACCAGCAGTCCTGGATTGTAAGAGAGCTGTCCAGATTGGAGATAGTGCAGGCTGAGCTGAGGGACATCTCCCCACCCCAATGCACAAATTTTGTGCACTGGGCCTCTAATAAAGTATAACCTGACCAAGATTTCTGAACATGCACGACTACAAAATTTCATCTCACCTGTGGTAGGTTTGTCAACTGAACCTAACCATCACTTCCAATCTCAGATAAGTAAGTGTCCTTTCTGCTTGATGCCCCCTAAACCTGGTAGTCTGATCCTTAAAGCAATCACCTCTATGATACAGGAAAACTGAATTCTACTCAAAATTCTGTTTCTAGCCATTCTGACAAACCATCTCAACAGTTCTTATGGGAACAGAAATTCTCTTTATAGAATACTAGAGGCTTGTTTCATAATATTCATGCAATAGGCCCCTGGCCTCACTCCCAACCATCCAGGAGCCAGCAAGTCCCCATTCCCAGCCACCCGAGAGCAGGCACGTCTCCACTCCCAGGCCTCCCGAAGATGGCAAGTCCTCGCTTCAGTCTGGGGCACCACTCCAGTAGCTCCTTCTGCTGCCCTCCTTCCCCTCATAGCAGGATTCACTCCGCTCTGCACGTGTATATGCAAATCAACTTCCATCTTTGTTGGGTTAATTTGTATACATCCTCTGATTGGCTGTGGGCGTAGCAGAGTGATGGTTAATTTGCATGTTTCTCTTTTATTAGGTAAGATCATATATTTATTAAGATATTACAATATAATGAATCTAGCAGATGTTCTAATGTGTGAAGACATCACCTCAGTGTAGACAGTGAGTCTCATTGCTCTATCACAAGCTTCTCTTTGGTTGGTAGGAAAAAAAAAACTGCATTAACACTGGGTAATTTTATCAAAATTCATTACTAAAAGAGTTTAAATCATCTGCCTATCGTTGTAAGTACTAGTGACATGTGTTCTTTTCTGCTATTTCAAAAAGTAAGTGAATAAAATTTCCACATCTCTTGTACTAGAATTTGGGCTCCATTTCCTGGAGCCCGCAGAGCTTTTCTTATGTAGTAACAGCTCTGTCTTGTGGCCTTTCTGGATATTGCAAGTAGATCAACTGTGGGTCATAGGTCTGGGAGAGAACTTAGATTTGGGAGAGAACTCCAATACATCCCCCTGCCTTCACACAGGTAAAGTTTATTAGCTTTACTATTTCTTCATTGGAACAGTCCAGAGAGGTTAAGATACTAATGCAAGGTCTCACAGCTAGAAGTAGAGTGTATTAGCTGAAATTCCTACAATCTTCTTCTCACTTTTTAAGAAGAGGAGACCTTTCTTCAAACAAGACCCTACCAATTATCAAACAGACACATGTAGATGTATTCTGGTTGAAGTGACAGAAGGGCCTACTTTTGCTAGTCTGGGACTGCTTCCCTGTTAAACCCATGTGAAAACTCCAGAGTGGGAACTGAACAAAGATCCCTCGGAGGGATCCCTAGGAAATATTACCTTCTGAAGTCATTTGTCATTTTATCATTTTTCTGTTCTGTCCTTTTATTAAAACTCTCTCTCTCTCTCTCTCTCTCTC